ATTGTCTTCATCTAGGCCAGGCGTAATATAGTGAGGCTGCATGTAAGTTCAGTTGCCAGGTCAATATCAGGCTTCCGTTAACGTTTTGGGGCTTTTATGACCGTTCATGATGTTCCTCCGGTTCAGTCTCAGGGTTTACATGTCGGGTAGTTGTTTGTGAAGGAAGGGGGGTATGAAGGGGGGTATCGAGGGTAACATCAGAGTCGCCTTTGCGACCACCATCAGGGCCAAGGCCCGTTCTTAGTGTTAAAGGTGACATTGCTTAGGATGAGGAATCCCTTCAACTTCACTTACGGTTCTTATTAATGGAGCTTGATCTCTAGCCTGCATGTAAACGGAGCAAATATGGGGGCCGATGTTGAGCTTGGGGAATAAGAGCAGGCTGTAGTGAATGATGTTGCCACGGTGAATGTGGGCACGCGTGGTGAATAATGCTATGACTCTATGACGGTGAATATGGGCAGTAGTAAGCGCTCATGTTTTGTCGGCTGGCAATACTACAGGGTTGAAAAAGCTATGTCGAGGCCAATATGAAGGTTGCCACTTAGGCCAGTATAATAACTCTAAGCTGAACCGTAGTATACAATCGAAGAGACGTTGGGGTTGCTGTTGGAATTCATTGCTCAATCAGATATGAGGGACAAGGCTTCAACATCCATACTGCTGTTGCGACCAGTGTTACCACTACCAAGTAGGAATTATGTTGGAGGCCAGCAGCACTGTTTATCTTCAGCCACTTCCAATAGATTTCAGTGAGCAACACACGGAAAACAACACCACATGCTTTGGTGGATGTGATGTGCATGCTACTCTAGAAGGATAGGCTATCACGGTGGCACTGATCGTAGGGTGAATATGACAAGCCGTGTCATGCTTAGGTCGATTGCTACGAAAAATTCCATTGGGTCCAATGGACTGCCGTGAGCAAGACAAGAAACAATGCTACTGTTTTTCATCGCAGGAATTGATCTGCATGCCACGCTGGAAGGGTAGGCTAGCATGATGGCATGCGGCCACGTTTAACATGGGCAGGGCAAGTGAATTGGAGTTCCCGAGGATTCAATTTCAATACCCCCGAATCCAAGATTCAAGATTCAAAATTTTCAGGACAAAGTTTCCCCGGGAGCTTGAATCTTGGATCTTGGATCCGGGAGTATTGAAAAGTTCATACTCGGAGTCTTCGGGACTGCTCCCAGTGCCCTAAACACATGCGTCAGTGCTGTAAACAGGTGCGCAGGATTGTATACTATCATCTGTTGTTTTGGTTTAGTACCGCACACATATTAGGGGCAGCAACAGCAACAGCAACAGCAACAGCAACAGCAACAGCAGCAGCAGCAGCAGCACCAGCACCGGCACCAGCAACAGCAACAGCAACAGCACCAGCAGCAGCAGCAGCAGCAGCAGCACCAGCACCAGCACCAGCACCAGCACCAGCAACAGCAACAGCACCAGCACCAGCACAAGCACAAGCACCAGCAACAGCAACAGCAACACCAACACCAACACCAACACTACAGATAATGACAATCGCACTACCGTTACTAAACCCTGAACTAAGCTGGCCCTCCCCCTCCCTAGTGGGCTTTAAAACCCACGGAGAAGGTAGATAAGTGAGGGGGGGTACCATATATATATATACACATACATATATGTTCTCGGGTCCCCCACCCTCCTCCCATGGTATAATCTCCCCCAACCCTATGGTACCCCACCCCTGCCCTGTTGCCAGCTGCGTGCCGCACTTCCCCCCCCCCCACCCCTATGGTATCCCCACCCCTTGCCCGGTGCGGAAAGCGGCAATCTGCGCAGTAGTTTCCCGCATGAGACATGAATTACGATGCTTATTTATGATGGTACTGATGATGAGGATGACGACGACAATGATGATGTTGAGCATGATGTCAAAGATGATCTGATTGTCGACTCGCGTCGCCGTCTACAGCAGCACAGCATCATGAGCAGTACCACCGGTGCCACAGCAAGACGCAAGATAAAGATTAACACATAAGAACTTCAAGAACGGCGGACCCGGGCCGCACGACCATAGTAGATGCAGTTGTAGACATGAACGGTGGTGGAAAAGATCAGAACAAGTGCTTTTTAAAGTTCCACATCACAGTAGTTGACCCAGTAATCGTGACAACAGGTCCTTGTGTTACACTTGTTGCATATTCCAATGCAATTCAGGCCAACCAAAGCCTCAGCTAAGGGGGGTGCAGAGCCCACCACAACAACGAAACCACAGGGGCGGG